ACTTATTTATGTATTTATTTATATATTTGGCTGCACCAGGTCTTAGTTGCAGCATGCGGAATCTTTAGTTGCGGCATGCGAACTCTTAGCTGCGGCATGTGGGATCTAGTTCCCTGACCAGGGGTCAAACCGGGGCCCCCTGCATTGGCAGTGCGGAGTCTTAGCCACTGGACCACGAGGGACGTCCCTGTGCCTCGGTTTTTACATCTATAAAATGAAGATCATAGAAAGGTCCACCTCTTGGAGTTATTAAGGGGATTAAATTAATAGCAGTATAGTGCTTAGAGCATTATATATGTTCACAACAACAAAATGAGGCACTATTACCCTCCCCACTTCAGGTACCTACCCAGAAACTGTGGCTTGCCCAAGATCAGGAAACTAGTACTGTCAGAGTTGGGACTCGAACCCCTGCAATGTTGCACTTGCAGCAGGTCCACGATTTACTTAAACTGTCTTTTCCAGACTTTTAGATGGATGGGTCCGTGAGTACCCAGCCATTATTCTCATGTTTTCCTTTGAAAGTTGAGGGCGCCCCTCACCCCATCTTGTCTCATTGCTCCTGCCCACCCTTTCTCCCTGTGGGAGGCCGGCTGTGCCTGGGCGAGTCGCTGCGGCGCGGGGAGCTCTTCCTCTTCCTCACCGCCATCCTGCAGCTTCTTGCTGGAGCCGCTGGGGGCGCCCGAGGACGTCGACCTGACCCCGCTCAGCTCCGGCCTCTGCAATTTGCCGCGGCCTTTCCAGCTGTGCCTGCGCTCGCGCTGACGCCGCATCCCTTCCAGGTTCGCCAGTGAGCGTTGAGGACCGCCCGTTCCCCTGCGCCCCATCCCTCTCGCTGTCACACTCGCTTCCCCTCACCTGCCGCATGCCCATCCCGCATCGCTCCTGTCTTTACCTTCTGAGCCCCCAGAGGCAGAGAAAGCCAAGGGGAAGGGGAAGTGCATGCCTTGTTTTATCCACAGAACTCGTTCTATTGCGCACACTTTGGGGGATTTTGTATCAATTTATAATAAATTATAATAGATTCGAACCTGCCTTGGCTGAATTAAAGGGAGGAGGATAGTCCTCTAGGATGGGGAGAAGGAAGGTCTGGCTGCAGAGAGGGGAGACACCTGGCTGTGATGAGTTCAACCCTCACCCTTAGCGTGGTTAAAAACTGGGAGAAATTGTTTCCTGGAGGCAGGCTGGAAGGTAAAGGCTGTGAGGGCTCGAATGAAGACAGAGGCAGAGAAGCCAAGGCCAAGAAAAAGACAGCAGCCTAGAGAGATATGGAAAAGGTCTGCAAGAGATGCAGGGCACTGTACAAAGATGGAGATGCAAGCAGGGAGAAAGTGAGAGACCCGGAGAAATAAATAGACCCAGAGGCTGAGAAATCACAATTACTAACACTTGCCTAGTGCTTCCTATTCACACACTGGTCCAAATGCCTCATTTAAATATCCCTATGAGACAAAGCAATTTTATTATACATTTTTACAGATGAGCAAACTGAGGTTGCTCAGAGAGGTGAAGTGACTTGCCCAATATTACACAGCCAGAAACGGGCAGAGCTGGGTTTGGAACGCAGATCACCTGGCTCCAACACTGCTCTTCAAAATCTTATGAGTCAGAGACACAGAGGAAAGCAGAGAGATATGGAGACTGAGACCTAGGGATGCAAAGAGAATAGAAGAGGGCTTCCCTGGTGGCGCAGTGGTTGGGAGTCTGCCTGCCGATGCAGGGGACACGGGTTCGTGCCCCGGTCCGGGAAGATCCCACAGGCCGCGGAGCGGCTGGGCCCATGAGCCATGGCCGCTGGGCCTGCGCGTCTGGAGCCTGTGCTCCGCAACGGGAGAGGCCACCACAGTGAGAGGCCCGCGTACTGAAAAAAAAAAAAAAAGAGAGAATAGAAGACAGAGACAAAGAAAGAAATAAAAATGACCAGAGAAAGAGCGGAAGGGCAATGAATGGGGAAGTGAGGCACTGGAAGACCGAAACTCTCCCCCATTTCTCATCCCTCTCGTTGGACTGTTTCTTTGTCTTGCATTTCCTCCCTCTGGGGTGGGGATAGCGGTCCCAGGCATGGGGCCTCGCAGCTTGGGACTGGACTTGACAAGCTGACATCTGCTGACAGTAGCTTTTCTCAAGGAGCAGGCATCTCACGTTTCATTGAGCTGGAGTCAGACAGAAGGAGGCTGGCCCCGCTAGCCATGCGCAGAGGTGACCTGGAAGGCCCTAGCCTGAGTGGAGTCTCCCCAAGGTCACCCAGAAGCTGGGACATGCTCTGCTGAGTATGGGCCTGGCTGGAGGGAGGCTTATAGGTGGCCCCCACATGGGGTGGTGGCTCCCTAATCCCCACACTGTTCCCACCACAGGCCAAGCACAGAGTCTGCCCCAGGGCCCAGGCAGGGACGCAGAGGGGGAGGGGGAAAAGGAGAGATTCAGAGGTCCTGAGAAAGAAAGATGGAGAGATGCGAAAGAGAAACACATGACGAAGAGAAAGAGACAGACAGAGATAGAGAGATACATAGAGATCCTGAAAACCAAAGATTGGGAGTGAGAGAGACAGAGAGACAGAGGAGGAGAAAGAGAGGAACTGAGCAAAGGGGAGAGATAAGAGATGCCCAAAGAGAAGGAAGACAAGGAGATGCTAAAGTCAAGATGGAAATTAAGAGAGGCACAGAGCTGAAGAGAGACAGAGATCTGAAAGGACAAAAAGAGAACCAGAGAGAAGCCGCAAGAGAAGAAACAGAGACAGGCAGGAAGGGAGACAGTCACAAGGATTCAGCCAAAGACAGAGATTGAGAGAAATAGAGTCCGAATTATAGAGCAACAGAGAGAAACAGAGACAAGAATTTATATTGTCTAAGAGTAAATGACAAACTTGAGATTAGATTTGTAATGTGGAACCAAATGAATTAAAAGGGAAGTATAGGGCTTCCCTGGTGGCACAGCGGTTGAGAGTCCGCCTGCCGATGCAGGGGACACAGGTTCGTGCCCCGGTCTGGGACACGCGGAGCGGCTGGGCCCACGAGCCATGGCCGCTGAGCCTGCGCGTCCGGAGCCTGTGCTCTGCAATGGGAGAGGCCACAACAGTGAGAGGCCTGCGTACCGCAAAAAAAAAAAAAAAAAAAAAAAAGGGAAGTATAATATTTTAACCATAAGCACCCCAATGTTTACTGCAGCACTATTTACAATAGCCAGGTCATGGAAGCAACCTAAATGTCCATCAACAGAAGAATGGATAAAGAAGATGTGGTACATATATACAATGGAATATTACTCAGCCACAAAATTGGGTCATTTGTAGAGACATGGATGGACCTAGAGACTGTCATACAGAGTGAAGTAAGTCAGAAAGGGAAAAACATCTTATATTAACGCATATATGTAGAATCTAGAAAAATGGTACTGATGAACCTGTTTGCAAGGCAGAAGTAGAGACACGGATGTAGAGAACACACGTATGGACACCAAGGAGGGAAAGGGGGGTGGGATAAATTGGGAGATTGGGATTGACATATATACACGTATCTGTATAAAATAGATAACTAATGAGAACCTGCTGTATAGCACAGGGAACTCTACTCAATGCACTGTGGTGACCCAAATGGGAAGGAAATCCAAAAAAGAGGGGATATATGTACACACATAGCTGACTCACCTCGCTGTACAGCAGAAACTAACACACATTGTAAAGCAACTATACTCCAATTAAAAAAGAGAGAGAGAAACAGAGACAGAAATAGGGAAGAAGAAAGCCATGCATTCATTCAGCAACATTTACTGAGTGCCAACTGTGTGCTGAGCACTATTTTACGTGCTGGGGATACAGAAGTGAACAAGACAAAATGCCTGCTCTTGAAAAGAGCCTGAGAAAGAGGATCCATCGGAGAGGCTGGGGTGGGAGTTGGGGGAGGGGTGGCGAGGGCATGCTTGCTGCAGCCCTGCTGTCTGCAGAGTCAGTGCCTCTGAGCAGTGCCCTGCCCCTCAGCCCCTGCCAGTCACCAGGCAGACAAAGGCTGACAGGTAGGGAGACGTGCTACACAAACAGGCAGGAAGACGGGAAAGCAGAGACAAAGGGAGATTAAGGTAAAGACAAACTGGAAGAGGCAGGGAGAGAAAAAGACAGACATTGACAAGAGAGAGCACACCAGAGAGAAGACAAATATGAACAGAGGTAGGCACTGAGAGTGAAACAGAGAGAGAGAGAGAAATGGGAAGAGAGAGAAAGAGAGAGAGATGAACAGAGAAACACAGAGACTGAGAGTGAGAGAGACACTCCCAGAGATAAGCCCTGTCCCAGACTCTGCACAGCTCCCCCACCGTCTCCCCAGGTCTGGGCCCTGTGCCAGGTACCTGGCGGAAGGCTGGATCCGGCACGGCAGGGTGGGTGGCAGGGTGGGCCGCATTCCTGAACAGTCTGTTCCAAGTACAGACTCAGCCACAACCCCCGCCCCTGGTCCATCGTGGCCTGGCATCAGGCGGGGGTGCCCACTGAGGAGTCTAGGGGACTGGAGACCAGGGGTGTAGCAGCATAGGCATAGGACATTTGGGGCATCTGGGAGCCAGAGCATTGGGAATAGAGATGGCAGGAGTTCAGGGCAGGGCCTAAGTGTGGAAATACAAGGGTGTCATCCGTGGGAAGGCAGCCAGGAGTCATAGGATAGGCATGGAAGTGCCAAGCTGATGGGCACCAGGACGCTAGGGGACTTGAGTGAGCATCTGGGAGACATGTATGGCATACAGAGCTCCAAGAGCAATGGGTGTGGAAGTGACAAGGGCTCAGGTGCGAGTCCCCAGGAATCACAGGCACAGGGCACAGGAGTGCCAGGCGAATGGACACATCACCAGGAGTGCTCTAAGAAGTGTACTTAGCAGTCAGGATGTTTTGAGTTATCAGAAGTACAAGGTACAGCGTTCAGTGGTCATGGGCCCAGAGGTGGCCAGGGGATTAGGAAGGCACAGCTACAGGCCAAGTGAGACGGACCCACAGGTGCTGGGGGTTCAAGAGGGTGCACCTGTTGACCAGGTATGCTGACATGAAAATGCTAGTGCATTAAGGCTACCAAATAGGACAGGCTGAGGCAGGCACACACACACACAAAAAAAAGGCCAGGAGGAGCCAAGGCCAGCAGTGATAGGGCTGGGGGCGGGGTGCAGACTTTGGGTTGGGGAATTACAGAATGAGCATCCCAAAGGCGGCCACCCCTCCCACTTTCAGTCTCCATCCCTGCTCCACCCAAGACCCCAAGGGACTCAAAGAGGCGAAGAGGTGCAGGCAGCCAGGCGGGGTTGGGGTGCACCCGGTGCTCAGACGCAGGCGGCCCTACCCCTGGGCCCATACCGCTCCCGCTTCGGCGGAACTTGCTGCAGCTCGAGTCTGGACACCTGGACCGTGCACTCACGGAGGTAGCCCCGACAGTGGGTGGGGTAACAGGATTCTGGATTCCTGGAGCTGGGGCTGGGGGCTAGAACTCCTGGTTCTCCGAATGAAGACAGAGCTGAGGGCTCGGACCCCGAGTCCTGACAGAGGGTGAGGGGCCTGGAGTCCTGCCTTCTGGGAAAGGAGACTGGGGGTGGGAAGTTAGATCTGGAGGGAAAAGGGGCAGTGGCTCTGAGCTCCTGGTTCAGGGCGGAGTCTCGCTGCCACCCCCCCCACCCCACCCCACCCCCCCCGACTCCCGGGTCCCAAGGGAGGGGGAGCCTGGGGCGGGTAGTCTGGTCCCAGGGGACGGGGAGCAGAGAGGTCTGTTCTGGCTCAAGGCTGGGGAGGTGCTGAGGGCCCAGATACCTAGTTCTGAGGGTGCAGGGGGCTGGGGACCTGGACTTCTAGATTTTGAGGGAAGGCGGTGGGGCTGGACTCCTGGGTCTGGAGGAGAAGGGAGCTGGGGTCCGGGCTCTGGGGTCTCGATGGCGGAGGGGTCAGGAGCCCAGACCCGGGCCCGCTGAGCACCGGCTCCGTGTAGCTCCCTGGACGCTGGGGTCCGGTGTTCACCGTGTGACTGGGCCCGCGCCCTGCAGTGGTGCCGTGCAGCTACGCAGCGCAGCGGGACGCATTAGTGCTGCAAGCGGATGCCTTCTCCGGCCGCGGGGCCAGGGCAGCCTTCGAACGCTTCACACGCGGAAACGGTGAGGCCTGGGCGGCGGAAGTGCGGACCGGGAACGTCCAGTTTGCGATACGGAGCGAGACCGGGGGAAATGGAACGGGGCCTAATAGAGTCAAGGGTTCTGAGGAGAGGTTGGGGAGAAGTCACAGTGTAGGGGTCGAATGGCGGTGGGGTAGGCTGGATCCTTGTGCAGCCAGTAGAAGAGAAGAGCCTAAGAGTCAAGACCAAAGAGAGCCAGCACGTGGATGAGGAATCGGGACCAGCAGAGGTGCGGCCAATGTGCGGAGGGCCGAGAAGGCTGGGGTAGCAACCAAAAGACCAGGAAATGAAGCAGAGCGAAGAGCTGCGAGGAAGTCAACTCCACTACGGGATGCTTCCGGGATGGGGCGTGGCTAACTCCCCGGCCCGTCCCCTTCTTTGTTCCACTCCCCCAGGCATCGTGGCTTCTAACGGGCAGCGCTGGCGGACGCTGCGCAATTTTGCACTTGGAGCACTTAAGGAGTTCGGCTTGGGTACGCGGACCATCGAGGACCGTGTCCTGGAAGAGGCGCTTTGTCTGCTTGGCGAATTTCAAGACAGCGTTGGTACGGCCTGGTCGGAAAAGGATAGGGACCTGTTGTGGGTGTGCCCTAGGGAAGGCGTTTGGGTGGAATGAAGCCAGTAAACCCAAGAGCTGGGTGGGGGCCGAGACACAGCGTATGACCTTGTCATGGTCCCACTCCCAGGAGCTCCGTTCGACCCCCGGCGGCTACTAGATAATGCTGTATCTAACGTTATGTGTTCCGTGGTCTTTGAGAACCGCTATGGCTACGAGGACCCAGAGTTCCTGAGGCTCCTGGACCTCTTCAGTGACAACTTCTGCATCATGAGTTCCAGATAGGGTGAGGTGAGAGGGTCGGCCCCCATCCCTCCCTCGTGTGCCCAGTCTATGCCAAATTCCGAGTACATGGACCTACCTACATTGGATCATTAGAATGGGGCAGTCTTAGAATCTTGGAATGGAAGAGTTTTAGAACCTACATCAAAGTCCTGGTCCAGTCTCCCCATAGGGAAGCGAATGGTCTTGTTCAAGGTCCTATTGATTTCCTGTCCCCCCAGATGTACATTTTCCCCTCCCTCCTAAAATGGCTCCCAGGCCCACACCACGGAATCTTCTGAAACTTAGCAGAGCTTAGAGTTTTCACCTCTCAGCAAACCCAGCAGCAACCGGCAGCCCATGGAACCCCGCAATTTCGATTGCTTCCTGATCAAACGGATAAGGTACAGGGCCCTGCTGCCCACCAGCAGATGCCTGGCTCCTCTACCCACAGAAGAACCCGGAGAGCCATTTCCAGGAGACACTGGTGATGACGACGCATAACCACTTCCTTGGCAGTACCGAGACCACAAGCACCAGCCTGCGCTACGGACTCCTCATTCTGCTCAAATACCCAGAGGTGGTAGGCTTCTGAGCTGGACAGCTAGGGATGAGGCGGCTAGGGTTGTGGGTTGGCTGGAGGCTGGGGCAGTTCACATGGCCGGCCCCAGCCAAAGCGCAGGAGTTGGATCCCGTGGTAGGTCGAATGTGCGCCCCAAGCCTGGAGGACTAAGAACGCCTGCCCTACACCGACGCCACGCTGCAGGAGATCCAAAGCGTCTTCAGCGTGCTACCGCTGGAGCTGCCGCGTGCCCTCACCTGTGAGGCCCACCTGTGCAGTCACTTCCTGCCCAAGGTGGCCACCAAGACTGGGGATCCTGCGCAGGGGCTGGGGAGGGCCTGTTAACAGAGATCAGCAGGCCTAAGCGTCCAGAGCACTGACTCTGGGAGCAAGAAAGTAGGCGGCCTTCCTTGCCGCTGACTTCGAAATGGGGTCTTGGATGGATGTGTGGAATAGTCACTTGCATATTTTTCAAGTAACCCTTGCACATCTCCCCAGGGCACCTTCATGATTCCTCTCCTTGTGTCTGCACACCAGGATCTCACCCAATTTAAGGACCCAGACTGTTTCAATCCCACCAACTTCCTGAATGACAAGGGTGAGTTCCAGAGCAACAACTCCTTCATGCCCTTTGCCCCAGGTCTGGGCTGGGCAGAGAGGGGACCAGCCTGGACGTGCCGTGGGGTGCATGGGTTTCTCATTCCACACCCCCACGTCCCCAGGAAAGCAATATGCCTGGGTGCAGGCCTGGCCCGATCCGAGGTCTTCCTCACCTCCATTCTACAGCAGTTCTGCCTGCTCCCTGTGGGGAGCCCCGCCAACATCGACCTCACCCCACAGTGCACTGGCCTGGGCAACGTGCCCCCAGCCTTCCAACTCTGTCTGGTGGCCCGCTGAAGTCAGGTTCAGCCACCCTCTGCTCACTGGCTCTCAGACCTCCTTACCCTCTTTGGTCAATAAAGGCCCTGAATTGCAGACGGAGGCGTCTTCTTACCAACAGGGAGTGAGTCAGTCAGATGTGTGCAGCTCTGAGGTAAACTTTTATTTCTTGGCTGACAGGACTTGCAGGCCCATGCTCCTCCCAGCACCTTTCATCCTGCCCAGCAGCGGCAGCCTAGTCCAAAAGGTGCCATGGCCAAAGGGGCTGGGGAGTCACTTCCCGTTCCAGGCTGGAGGAGTGGGGGGCTTGGGGATACTCCCCCACAAACCTTTGCCAGCAAGAGGCCATGACTCACCCCAACCCCAAATCCTGCATTCTGGTGGGAGGTGGCAACGCCTCCTTCCAGCTCTCCAAACCTGAGAGGGACATGCATGACCAGACAGGGCAGGACACAGGCCCCCAGTTCCAGTAACGGCAGTCCCCAACACCGGCCTCTGCCCAAGTCACAACCCCAGCCCCCAGCCCAGGGCAGCAGAGGTCTCTCCTCCTCCTTGGTCCTCAGCGATGGATGGAGCCCTCCACACCAGGCAAAACAGAGGCAAAGTCAGAAGCAGCGGCAGTGGCGGGGCAGGAGCAGGCACCGTGACTGGCGGCACCGGGCCCAGGGCTCTCCCGAAGTCAGGCAAGCTGTCTGTCCGTGCAGCACTGGGGCTAGCCACTAGGTGGGCGTAGTCGGCTGTGATACAGGTACTTGGACACCCTTCTGTCCTGATGCTGGGGGTGAAGGGGGACAGGAGACTGAGTCATCAGGGACGCAACTAAGAGACCAAGGAAACCTGGGAAGAAGGGGAGATGACCAGAAGAGATGGGGCTCATGCTGGGGATACCAGGAGAGTGAACTGTCTAGGGATGGTAGGCAAAGATGGGGAAAAATGAGTGACAGGATCCAGTGAAGCTGATGAGGCGGCTTGAGGCCCAGGGAGGTACACGGAAGAGGAAGGACCTGAGGGAGGGGACACTGGGAGGCCGGTACCTAGCTGATACTTGTCTTTGGCTGCTGCTCGCTCCTTGGCATCAAAATACCAGACAGTGATGGCGTACCTGGAGACCAGAGCAGCCCCAGAGGGTGGTTAGAGATCACTTTTCTTCAATTCCAGCCACTATATCCACCCCGAGCCGCCCCCTCTTGGCACTCCATCACTTCCTAGTCACTTCAGGGGTCTGACAAGACTTTGCTGGCACAGGGGGAGCACCTGGGCACATTCCCGGAAGTATGGACCATACCTGGTGGCATAGGCTGGTTTCACCTCATGGGGGTTCCGCCGATCAGACCAGAAAATGAGCAGCCGGTCAAAGAGTGGCTCAATGTTGGCTACCACGGGACGGCCCTCAGGGAATATCTGCAGCAGGCCGCCATGCACCTGAAGGCAGGCCAGAGGATGAGGCAGGCTGGGAGTCCTGCCTAGAGCCCCTGCCTTGCACTGCCGGCCCCCAGGAGCCCACCAGGGGGCATAACAAGTTCACACATCACTCCCTCCCACCACTCAGGCTCTCAAAATGAATGACAACCCAGAGTCTGCATCACCATGGAGATGGGCAGGAAGCTACTTAAGAAGACAGGAAATGGGGCAGGGGAAGTGCTGGTTAGGCTGGGGGCTGGGCAGACAGCACCATTCCCCAAAGAGGGGGAACTGCCGCCACACAGTCAGCTGAAGAGGAGGTCCCATTTCCCAGAAAGAGCCATTGGGCACATTCCACCGCCCCCCTCCCGTGGGTTGGGAAGAGGAAGGGGACAATGCTAGAAGCTGAGCTGGGAAAGAAAATGCAATGGACGCACGCCACCCCACCCCCAACATCCTACCTTGACATCCCAGTTCTGATTCAGGTAATAGATGCAGGTGATGCAGCGCCCATCGCCATGGGGATTGTCAACGTGTCTCACGTACCCCAGCCCGTTACCTGGGTAACATGCCACCATGGCCTGGCAGAGACGGATGGAGAGCGTTTACTGAGGCTCAGTGGCAGGGACGTTAGATAAGCAGCCATCACCTCCTCTTTCTCACCCCTCTCAGCCCCTCATCTTTCCTCAGGTGTCCTGGGCTCCAAGGGTTCCAGCACCCAGACTTTCTCCTTTTCTCCTTTTTCAGCCAAGCCTCCATCCACAAGAAACCTCAGCCCCTGGGCCTCAACAGCCCAACACACACACACACCTCACGCCCCTACCCCCCGCGTCTGGTGCCAACATGCAGCTCAGTGAGCAACTGAGGGCTTGGTTTTTTAAAGATAACCTGACCCCACGTCAGACATTTCACTAGGATAAAAGCAATTGAAACATTTCCTGCAGGGATGTGGCCTCACAGCCCCACACCAGGAGTTCTCTCCTTGAGCTGTAGAGTTGGAATGACCTGGGACACTGATACCGAGGCCCACCTCAGAGGTTCTGATGTACCTGGTCTCAAGTGGAGCCTGGAATTTTTTAAGGTTCCCCAGGTAATCCTAATGTGCAGCAATGTTGAGAACCACTAACCTTACTATAAAGAATACCCGCTAAATAATCTGTCTCCTACGCAACTGAACAGGTACCAAAACCTAGAATGTGACCAGAACCTGAGATCTAATCCCAACTCCAAGGAAAACCTGCCAAGTAGCCTCGGAGAGTCTCATCACCTGAATGGGCCTCAAAACGCCTCATCTGTAAAATGGGGCTAATGAAGACCTTTGGTTTACAGCAGTAGCATGAACCCCTCCGAGAACATGACTTTGGAGGCTCCTGACCCCCACAGGTCTGAGTCAGACCTTGTTCCAGGTCTCGGCTTCTGTGTGCACAGGTCTAGCCCCAGGGTTCTCGCCTCCTCTCCTGGATAGCCGCCACTGCCCTAGGCAGCCCTGGCCATCCTGAGTCCTGGGCCTAGCCACTCCGGGCCTGTTTCTCATCAGGTACCCAGCAAAGTGATGGATGTGATGTGAGGAAAAGGGCCCAGGTGTTCCTGCAGACCTATCTCCTGGGTTCAAGTCTCGGTGCTGCAACATAAGCTGTGATGTTTGGCAGATGACGGAACTTCCCCATCTCCAGTTCCTCATCCACGAAATGGAGCTACCACCTACTTTTTTGGAGATTTTGCCGGTTTTGCTCGAGGGTGGGGTGGGGAAGGGGGTCCAGTGCTGCAACCTCTTCCCGCACAACCCATCCCCACAGCAGCCCGAGGCCCTTTACTCCAGCTCACCACTGCTCAAACCCCTTCAAGCTCCTCGCTGCATCCCAAGAGAACACAAACTCCTGACCACAGCCTCCAAGGCCACTAGCCTCATACACTATCTCCAGCCTCGAAATCCTCCTCACTCTTCTCTGACCAGGCCAAGCTCATCCTCAAGGCCTCTGCACCTGCCTGAACGCTCTTCCACTCGTCCCCCTTGTTATTCAGGTCTCAGGGCCAGGAGCACCTCAAGTCCTCTAGCTGAAGGCACCTGGGCTGATTTCCCATTCCATCCCTCTCAGTGCAAAATCAGCACAGGTACCTGTTTACCAAGTACTGGCCACCAGGGCCAGGCCTGTCTCCCTAGTGCCAAGGAGAGAGCTGCTAATTGAAAGCGCTCCTCTGGGTCTCAGGGCCTCCATTCCATCCTTCCCGTGCACCCTCACAGGGTCTCCCACCATGCAGGCAGGGACACACTCTGTAGTCTGTCAGGGAATGGGACTCCTGTGTGTGTGAAGGTAGGCACAGGAACAGGCCCTTTAAGGCCCCCCTCCCCCCACATATACTCACCTGGGAGTGGGGCTGGGGGTGGCATCCTCCGGCCCCCGAGAAGCATCTACTTCCTGCCCCCACAAGGGAAGGGACAACAACCAGAGTAACACGGAAACTTGCTCCTCACACTTCCATCTCCAGGAAGGGGCAGCTAGGACCACTGTGCATGCACACCCCACCCCCAATCAGAACCCCAGGTCTCAGCCCACAGCAGCAGGCCCCACCTCCAAACTGCTCCTAAAGGGGCCTCCCGGGGTCACCTATGGTAGCCCTTGATGCCAATGGGAGCCAGTTCCCTCCCACCTGCAGGCCCGCTGAGCAGAGGATCTAGGGAGAGGAGGAAGGCAAGAGCACAGGAGCGGCACTCGGGACCGAGAGGCAGGTTGTTACCAGCCCAAACCACACTGGTGATCTGAGGCCCCCCCCCCCCGCTACCGTGACCACCCCACACTGTCTTACTCCAGAGCTTGGGGAGGGAGCCCAGATGTTGCCCTCTGAAGGCGAGGAAGCCTGCAGTTGCTGCCTCACTGGGGCAGGGAGGGTCTGAGAGGAACTCCAGTGGCTGGGTTGGCCCTTCCCCTCCCTTCTTAGTCCAGCCAGGCTCGTTCTTACCTCCCAAGGCTAAAAAGTCTCAACACCCACCCCACCACCCCTCCAGGGCCTGCTCCCAACCACATCCAAGGCACCAAAGGAAAAGAGATCTGCGCCCTCTCCCCTCCCCTCCTGAAATGGCCACAGCCTAGCTGGGGAGTTAATCTGGTTTTCCTATCCTGTGGATGAGCAAACAGAGGCTCAGAGAAGCATCCTGCCCTTGGCCACTCAACTCTTGTGGTCTCCCCACCAACCTCCCTCCTGTGAGGATGGGTGACCCTGGGGAGATGGGGCTCAACACCTTGTGGCTAGGGAGATTCCCACTGATCTCTCCTGCCACTGGGAGGGGCCGCCTCTGGCCCTCCAGCTACCGAAGTAACAGGAGGGAGAGGGAAGCAGGACAAGTTCCAGCTGGGGCGGGGAAGCCAGTATGGCTTTGGCCCGGGGGAGCCCTAGTCCCCGAGCCAGCTCCAGCCTGAGACGGAAGCTGCAGAGACAGAACCCAAGACAAGATCTGAGGGAGGAGGGAGAGGACATCAGGAGCACAGCCTCATGCCTGCAGGGCAAAACACAGTCTGTGCCATCAGCCAGGTATCACTGGTGCTGTGCAGTGGGCACTCCCTACCGGGCCTTGTCCTAACACCGCCAAACCCTGGACTCAAGGCCAGGATCCTCACACCCCTCCATGAGGAGAATTAACATGTCAGCAGGCCAAAAGGCCCTACGGACTACTGTCTTGTGCAGGCTCCTAACCCCAGGTTCCTGAATGGGCAGCTGCAGGCCCAGAAGGCCCTGATCACTGACCATAAACTCCAATCAAATGAGCATTTTTTAAAGACAGGGTCTGTGGTTTCTGGCAGATTCTTAAACAGGCCCAGGTTCCAAAAAAAAAGATAACTGCTACTCTAAAACAAGAGAAAGAGACCAAGAAAAGATACAACGGCAGAGGATCAAGGAAACAGACCAGAGCCAGACAAGGATAAAGTGATGGAGAGACAGAACAGACAGGATGGAGGACAGGGTCTAGGATGGGGAGGGATGGGAAAGATGGGGACATAACCTCCACCTGGGCCGGCACACAGACACCCCCAGAAAGCCGTCCATGATGCAAATGCTACAGTACGGCATACAGTGCACAATGCAGCCCAGCACCAAGCACAGTGGGCAGTGCCTCCTCCCTCAGCCCAGCATTGGCCTCACCACTGCCCCCCTCCCCGTTCCACCTTCTGGTTCTCCTACCCGGGAGACAGAACAGACAGACCAAAGACAGGCAATGGACAGGATGGACTAGACATACCCAAGTACATGAAAAAATAAGGGAACAGGGAAGAACAAAGACAAGGGCAGACAGACAGGTACAGACGGCAGAGGCAGAAAGCCGTGCCTGTCTACACTGAACATTCTTGGTCTAGGATCCAGGAACAGACATCAGGTAGCTGTGAACCCCACCATGGCCCATGCACATATGTGGGACTATGACTGTCGGCACCTCTCCTCAGGTTCTTCAAGAGGATCCCTGGCAAAGTCAAGAACCATGCTGACTATGGGCCAAACCCATGGTTTACAGGTACACAAACTAAGGCCACAGGGAGCGAGAGCCCAAAGTGAGCTCCAACAGTCCCTGCACCAGAGCTGCCTAAACTCTTTTGTGACCCCAGAAGCCTATCTCCAAACCCACTGGTGCTCAGAACACTAGGCATCCAACAAGTGCTGGGCAGCCCCCCACCCCACCACCCGGTCCCTGCAGCCTCACCTTGGTGCGCCCATTGATGACGTAGCTGCCCAGCCTCCCAGCACAGTGGCGGATTACAGCATCCACGTGGGCCATGAGGGCACCGATGCTTCGGCAGCCTGGCTCATGGCCTTCCACCCAGGCAATCTGGTCCCCACGGATGCTGCGTGGCGGGATAGCCCGCTGGCTCACTAGCTGCCCATCACGCAGGCGCCCGCCCCGCTTCAGGGCCTCCACCTCTGCCAGCACTCGGCCACCCAGCGCCGCCCCCAGGAAGCTGTCCTTGACGCAGATGCCATAGTACCGCATGCAGGGCACAATATAGTCCAGGGCCAGGCGCTCAGGTGCAGCGGGCAGCACCTCCTCCCTCAGCCCGGCGCTGGCCTCACCACTGCCACTGCTGCAGCCCTCCCCCTCTGTCTCTGCCTCCTGGTTCTCCTGCCTGGCCCAGGGCCGCTTGCTGGGGGCGGGGGCATCCCCACCATCCTCTGCCCATTTCCGTTTGGGGGCCTCGGGCCGGGCGCCCTGGGCTGCCAGTCGCTGGCACCCCTTGGTGACCAGTGCCGCAGCACCCTCACTCTGCAGCGGCCGCAGCTCGCCGCCATCCTGCCCACCGAAGCCCTCCCGCAGGGGGCTGGCTGTGGTGGAAGTAGCTGTAGCTCTGGGGGTCCCACTCCCCGCCGAGGCCTCACCAGGCCCTCCTGGACGGTGGTAGGAGGACAGCAGGGGACAGGGCAGGTAACTCTCCACCCCCATCCTGGCCCTGCTAGGCTCCAAGGGCTCTGACACCGAACCCGGCAACTGAGGGAGAGCCTGACTCAGGGGCTGCGGCTGGCACGGGCTGTCCATGGCAGCAGTGTCTTCATCCCCCGGGCATGGAGGGCACGGCCCAGGCCCATGGTGCCACCCTCCTCCACCTCCTCCTCCTCCACTTGATGCAGCCGGGGGCCGGGGCGGCTGGGCCTGGCGTGGGGCAGGATGAGGCAGGGCAGATGGCAGAGGCTTTTCTCGTGCCCTGGGGGTGCTTGCTGGTCCCCAAGTCCTCTGCTGTCCCTAGGGGCTTGGGAAGGGACCTGTCACGGTGGCTGGAGAAACAGAGAGAGAGAGAGACAGACAGAGAGAGAAAAAGGAATGTGAGAAGAGCTACAGGGAAGAGGGCTGGGCGAGGGTGGGGAGTGGCAGGGGCAGTAGATAGTTAGACTTAGCTATAAACACCCCAAAACCTGAGGCCACGTGGGGAAAAAGACTCTGGGACTTGGGTGGAATCACTAAGAGAAAAGGGGCAATAAAGGGGCAGCTGGAGGGGTGAGACTGGGTAGCTGATCCACAGGCAGAGGACTGCAGTGGGAGCTGTGGGCGAGAGACACCCACAGACAGACACAGACCCACAGACAGAAAAGAAGGAGGGGACTTTAAGTAGAAAAGGATGGCGGTGTGGGAAGTAGGAGAGTTAGAAACAAACAGACTGAGGGTGGGGGGGGGCGAGAGGGGGGATCTGCCTGGAAGACACAGAGGGAATGTGGGGATCTACAGACCGTGGAAACTGGGGGGTCCAGAGACAGAAACACACACCGGAGAAGAGCAGGGAGGGTGGGCCTGAGACAGCCGGGCAGAACCCAGCCCAACAGGAGGAAGCCCGTTAGGGGCTGACACACACCCAGACGGAAGGGAGGTCCTGAGACAGACAGACGGAAGGGACCCGTGGGAGCAGGGTCCACAGCGACAGAGGGAAGGGTGGAGAAGGGCTCATGCACTCGGGGAAAGGACGACGGAAAAAGCGCCCCCCTCCCAGGTCCCTTCGGTGCGGGTCCTGGGGCCCCTCGGGGCACAGCAGGAGACGAAGACAAGGCCTAAGGGCCGCTGGAACCCCGTGTCCCCACCCCTCCCCTCCCCCTCCGCCCGCTCCCTGCTCCCCCCCCAACCCCCCCAACGGCCGGCGCTTAACATGCCCGGCGCGCGTTCCCTCCCCCACGCCCCACCCCCACCCTCCCCTCCCCAGGGTCGCCAGGCTTCGCCACAGAGTGCTGGGCGCGCGCCCCCGCACCCCGCCCGGCTCGCGCCGGCGCCCGGCCTCAAGTGCCTTCTCCGCCCCGCTCCATGCCCTCCCCGCGGTCTCCTCACCGAGGTTTTTCCTCCGGCCCCGGCGCCGCCGTTTGTGCCAGCCGCCCTGCGCCGCACAGCGCGCCATACCCCGCCCCCACCACCCGCGACGCTCCGCCCCCGCCTCGCCCGGTGGGCACGTGACCGCATCCGGGCGTAGGAGACGGGGCTTGCGCAGGCGCGAGCCGCGCGGGGCGGGGCGAGGAAATTCAGAACACCCTCTCCCTCGAGAAAGGGGAAACGGATCAGTCGCCGACACAAGGTTTTTATGCACTCTCCGCTCCGCCCCTTCTGCGCGAGAGGAGGAACGCAGTTAGGAAGGGCTGGATCCGGTGGGGGAGTTTCGGCACACATTATGCCAAGCGAGTGGGAGGGGCATGCAAATAATTCTATTTACATAGACAGGACCGCCCCCTTGGAGCCGAGAACGCGGCGGAACGATGAGTAGCAGGGTAGAGGAGGCATACAGATCATCGGTATTATTTACATGGACAGCTCCGCCTTCTCACAGCCCAATAATAGGAATATTGAGAAACGTCTGAGCAATTAGTTGGGAAATGTATGTAAATTTGCACGACAGTAAGTAATTTACATAAGGACTTTTTATAACGGAGGAAAAGAGCGGAACGTCCTTGAGAGAAGGGAAGAAGAACAAGAAGGGACGTGCAAACATTCTGACTCGCTCCACCCTGCCCCATCGGGACAACTGTGTGGCACCCGAATAAAACAACCTAGGAAAGCTACTCAGAGAAGACATTTGCATGACAGCCTCGAGTCTCTGGACGACCTGACCTGGGAGGACTATGCAGATGAGGTCATTTAAATGCCCCACCCCCTCCGCCAGCACCCAGGCTGAGCAGGGACTCAGGTCTCTCGTGAGGGTGGTTTAAGGCCAAACTGGGGTTGGGAGAGCAGTTGGGAGTGTCCTCAGTGGGCTGCACCTGTCCCTGGCAGAGCATGTGCGGGTGTCAGAGGTTCACCTGGACACAGGAGGCAACACACTGATCTCAAATATGCACAGGAGTCCCGGTGACACAAAAGCCCACACAGTCTTCAGGGGCACACACAGGGTTCATGGTCACACACAAGTGTATCAAAGGAGTCAAATTCACAGCAAAACACACACAGACCTCAGGGGCACACAAACACAGTTACACACCAAATAGACACTGCCTCAGACTTTCAGGCATCAGACATGCATCGCTATCACCCACCGGGCCCAGACCCAGGGCTCAACTACAGGCCTGAATTCTCATTCCCTAGCTTTGGTGTCCCAAACAACGCCAGTCTTACAGACACAATCACCAAGGACACAGAGTAGTCATAAGCAACGGTGTCACACACACAAGCAGCACACATTCCTACAGATCCCATCACACCCATTGCAAACACAGGGACATTAGTGTTACATATGTGGGCAAACTCCCTCTACAACATACATCTGAGCCATGGAGTCATGGTGGACCCCCGTACCATGTCCAACCCAAAAACATGGCCCCCAAACACCGTCAGTGACCTCTTTTCCCCCCACCACCACCCCAAAATGACAGAGGCTATGACACAGGTGTAAACAATGCTTTATGGGGGTGGGGTGGGGACGGGACAGGCCTCCAGGTAAGGTAATAAATAACACGTACTCGCAGTGGCAGGGCCAGGGGAGCTGAGGCCAAATGGCCCTGGTCTCGGGCTTTGGAAACTCTTTGAGTATAGTTAGGGGTTCAGGGGGAAGAGGGGTTAGCCAAGACAGAGGAAGCAGCAGCAGGTACGGATTCCCCCTTCCCCCATGGCTCAGTCTTGCCCCTCAGCCAGGCCCCACCAGGCCAGGGAAGGGGGACAGGTGGCGGGGCAGCTTCTCTGGGGCCAGGTCAGGTAAGGGGCTCAGTCTCCCAGGGCCTGGGTCTGGGCCCCAGCCAGAAGGACAGGGCTGGTCCTGGAGAACGGGTGAGCTGAAAGAAAAGTGTGCCATGAACTGGAGGGATCTTGGGTCTGTCGGCTGGTGTCTCTGTCTCATTTCTGGGTATCTTCCTGCCCGCCTAACTGTGCCTGTCTGTCCATACTTTTCTCTTTCTCCCAAAGTTTCTACATTGTCTGACTTTCTGTTTCTTGTCTGCAGGTACTGTGGGGCTCTAGAGCTGAGGGCATGTGCATCTCCCTGTTTACTTGCCTCAGAGAGCTGTCTCCTTGAGTCTGTAGAGGGGCATCTCAGTGTCTACATTCTGTGTCCCCACCTTTGCACCTCTGTGTTCCTCTATGTTCCTGGATCATCCAGGCTCTAGGTCTCATTCCCGTGTTTTCCAAACCGAGGAGACACATCACTTCCTGTTTTGTAGTTATCTGCAGATAGCATTACCTGGGAGCTTCTAGAAATCCCCAGATCATTTCAGAATCTCTGGGGTAAGACCTGGGCATCAGTATCTTTTAAAGCTCTCCAGGTGACTCCAATGTGTACAACTGCATTAGTGGGTTGGGAAATCAGTTTGGTGGGCCTTGAGCAATTGTTGTAACAGAATAAAATAGAAAATACCATAAAAATTAAAATGTTAACATATTAAAAAAAAAAAAGAAAAGAAAGAAAATTTCAGAGTGCTTCAAATGTTGGTCCATAGAGACAGAAAGCAGATGGGTGGGGGCCAGACTCTGGGGAGGATGGAGAATGAATGCTTAAAGGGTATGGGGTTTCCTTTTAAGGGTGATGAAAATGCTTTGAAACTCGACAGAGGTGGTGGTTGCATAACCTTGCGAATGTACTAAATGCCACTGAATTGTACGCTTTAAAATGGCTAAATTTGTTGTGTGAATTTCACCTCAATTTTAAGAGAAAGAATATTAATACAAGAACGTGTTTTAGTTTTATACGTGTGTGACTGTATTAGATCAACAAATAAAGTATATTTCCTCCTGTAGAGTGCAATCAACAGAGTTTGAAAATGCAGTCTTACTACATTTGATTCACTGAGGGAACACCCTGAAACAGACTCAAAACTAAGCTCTGAGGCGAAGAGTACACACCCATCTGATTCTACATAGCCCAGAGTCTTTAAAATGGACACGAAGAAGAAAAATAATAAACAGGCCTCGTTTATCAAGTCTTAGTTTACTGACTGTCAGGCCCTGTTCTAAGCATTTTCGTTTACTGACTGTCAGGCCCTGTTCTAAGCACTTTACATGAATTAACTTAATCTTCTCCACACTCACATTGAGGTGGGTACTATCATTAGCCCCATTTACAGATGAGGAAACCAAGGCCCAGAGAGGTTAAATAATTTGCCCAGAGCTATGAAGTGACAGAGTTGGAGTATACATGCAGGCAGCCCAGGTCTGGAGTCTGTGATCTGTCACCTTCTCAGATGGGTTAGACAAACACCATACAGATAACAATGATCAGCTCTGTCAGTTGAACGCTTTGCAAAGGAGGGGCAGTTGTGAGACTGCCCATCTAGAGGGAGTGACCCCACTTGGGAAGCCTATGAAGGTTCCCTGCAGGAAGAGGCATTTTAGTAGAGACCTGATGATGAATGGGAGTTGGTGCCAGAAGGGAGCACAGGCACAGCAGATGCAAAGGCCTGGAAGGAAAAGAGCCCTGCCCAAAGAGCTCATCCTTGACTCCTCTCTCACATTCCATACCCATTCATCAGGAAATTATGTTGGGTCTGCTCTCTAAGTACATATATCCAAAGTCTAAACACTTTGCTCCACAGCCATCCTGGAGCCGCCAGTGGCTGTGGGGTGGAGGGTTGGGTGGGCATGAAGCACAGAGACAAGAATTGTCAAGACATACACACCCGCGAGAGGTGGGGCTAGGACCAAATCCTGTAGGAACTTTCAAGCCTGTCAAGGACTTTGGACCAAGCACAGGGGAACAAGCATGGCTTCCTGGAGGAGGGGGAGAGGTTACCCGAAAAGAGAGGGAAGGAATCAGATTTGTGCTTTAGGAAGACCCAGTGACTACATGAGGAGGGGACAAGCCTGGAGACAGATCAGGGAAGGTACAAATCTATTCACTTCGCAACCCCTCCTCCGCCCCCACTTTGATCCTGTCCACCATCGTCTCTCACCTTGACTTTGGAGTGGCCTACTCACTGGTCTCCAAGCAACCACCCCTGCCCCCTTCAGTCTGTCCTCTATATGCAGCCAGAGGGGCCCTGTGAACACCTGAATCAGATCTTGTCCCTTCTCTTCTCGGAGCCCTCCTATAGCTCTCATCCCACCCAGCGTATAGCCAGAGTCCTTCCTGTGGCTCACAAGGCCCTAATTCATTGCTTCCTCCCACCCCAACCTCATCTCCAGCTCACCTATTCCCTGGCACGCACGTGCGCGCACGCACGCACACATACTCCACTCCAGCCACACTGGCCTCCTTGGACTTCCTCACCCAGGGGAGGAGGCAGGGCCCTACCTCAGGGCTTTGTACTGGCTGTTCTCTCTGCTTAGAACACTCTTCCCCCAGGTCCCCACATGACCCCTCCCTCAGCTCCTTCAGGTCTTTGCTCAAATGTCACCTTCTCAGTGAGGCCTCCGCTCATCATCCTATTTAACACTCCACTCCTCCGCCGCCCCTCCCTCCTTGATTCTTCTCCATAGCTCTTATCGTCCTACCTACTATACAATTGGCTTGTGTATCTTGTTTATTGTCCATCTCCTCCACGAAGGCAGGGATTTTTGTCTGTTTTCCCCACTGTTATAGCCCCAGTGCTGGGAACAGGGCCTGG